ACATTTGGTCACTGAAATTGTAGTTCATTTACAGAACTAGAGAGATGTTTTGGTTGCTTTATTTTCAAATAGTTACCTGTGTCTTACAGTATTTAGTTCTTTGTTTTCACTTTAGATTTAGTAATAGCTAGATAATTTTTTTCTTGCTATCAAATCATTATCTTCTTTGTTGTTGTTTTCATTATCTTAGTAATTTTCTGTGGAATGTTGTATCTTTCTCAAGGTATTCTTTTGACTTGTTCTCCTTAATTTGATCCCTATCATTCTGCCATTCTCCTCCAGCATGACAATTATATATGGTACTGCTGAGTGTAACAGTGGATAATAATTTTTCAAACTTCTATTCTTTGAAGGCAAGTGATTTGACTTCCTTAACTCTGTCTTTATAATGTTGAGTTACCTCATAGGGATACTGGTTTTTAAAGAGTCCATGCTTGACACTCAGCATAAAACCAGTACCAACTTAGCTGCCATGGTATTTTTCTCATCTTGGGGAATTGAATCTGGGGACCTGCACACCAGATAAGCACTCTGCCACTGCAATGCACACTTTTATTGCTACCACAGAGATTTCAGTTGGAAGGCTTATCCTTTGAGCCATTTCAAAGATGAACAATTTCTGATACTAATTTTTTTTTACTTTCTCTGTAGTCTTTAGTTATAATCTGTTCATGTATATAAATAACATTAGAAGTCTCATTGTGTATGGCCTCACTGAGGCAAGGAGGTGTTCCCTTTATGGGGTTATAGTCTACAAGAGGTGCTTCCTACTAGTACAGAGCAAGGCAATCCTCTAGTCTTTGCTGTTTGCTATTATCTTTTCTTTTCTTTTTTTAAGACAAGATTTCTTTGTAACCCTGGATTCCTGGAACTCCTTTTGTAGACCAAGCTGGCCTTGAATTTAAAGATCAGCCTGCCTCTGTCTCCCAAGTGCTGGGATTAAAGGCGTGCACAACCACCATCTGGCTCTCTCCTCATTTTTTTTATATAAGAATTTCTGTGCTTGTACATTACACATTTAAATGTTTTAAAACGTTACTTGGAATTTTATTTAAATGAAAAATTTCTGTGCTTGTACATTACACATTTAAATGTTTTAAAACGTTACTTGGAATTTTATTTAAATGAAAAATTTGAGACAAATAACATGCAGACCACTTAATCTGGATACAGCTGTTGTTAGCATTTTGGGGGCAAAAAAATGTCATGTGCTCTCTCTGGTTGTCTGTTTACATCATTCTATAAATTTCCTTCATGATTTGATTGACTTCTGCAGCAGAGCTGCATCCTGCCTGCTCCACTCTATGACAGTTATGTTACCTACACAATGCCCTATTTAGCTTTGGGTATTTCCGTATATAACACCACAAGAATATTATTGCTGGGAATGTTGTCTGCCCAATGAGATTTTTTTCCATAAAAACACAGTATCACTGTGACTCCAGAAACTTATGTCAGTATAGTATTTCATCTCTTTTACCCTCTATTTTACTTTTTCTACTTGATTTAATGTTGCATATAGTATCCTTTCTTCCCAAGTAGGTTCCAAGTCTAGTTTAATGTTAGATATTTTGCTTAATTGTTTGTTTTTAATCCTTCAATCTTTTAACATGGTCCTACTTATTTTTATCACCATCAGAACTATCTTCATTTTGTCCTTGTTATTCCTCATGGTTAGATTGCTGGAATAATTTAGGGTCCTCAAAGTGTCTGTATACACAGCAGGATGCATAAATGCATCCGTCCCCATAGGATTTGCCTGGTTAAGATGTTGCCAGATTATTTGTCCACCCTTTCTATCTAATAACCCAACAGTAGGTAAGGGATGAATATCCAGCTCCTCCTCAAAGTTTATTTCTAGGTTTTGGAAGCCAATGTCTGGCGGCATTTTGACCTGTTGGCAACAGTCTTACTTTAGCTGTAGCACTCTCACATTCATTGACCAGCTCTGCTCACCAGCACCATCTCTTCCACATATTAAAATTATTGCTTTATGAGGCTGGCTCGTTTTCTCAGAGGGTAGATGAGTTTGCTGCCAAACTGTTTAAATTAGTAGTGACATGAATCCTGCAGGTTGTCTTCCAACCTTGACACATTAACCCTGGTACACACGAACACACCCCATGAAAACAGAGATTAATTCATGAGTTACTGTTTTTGATGACAATTCACAACCTCCCATGGATTCATTCTTCACACTGTCTGCCTTGTCTCTGTGCCAGGCCCTCGTGTTTGAAGACCTCATCAAATATTTTTAACATGTCCTAAAAAGTAGTCTCAACATCTCTCCTGCCCCAGACCTGGAATTATTTGACTTCAATAAGCAGCTTACCTGGGGCAATGCATGCTAGTTGTTTTTCCTGAAAGTGTTTGCTTTCTAAACCTTTGAGCTTCTTCAAGTTAGGAAGGAGTGTGTCTGTCTGTCTGTCTGTCTGTCTGTCTGTCTGTCTGTCTGTGTCTCTGTGTGTATATGATCACAAGTATGCATATACCTATACATATATGTAATTCTGTGTCTCTCTGTGTATATGATCACAAGTATGCATATACCTATACATATATGTAATGGGGAATACTGAACTTGATCAAGATCATAGATGCTTTCATTCATTTACTCAATTAAAATTGAGTTTGTTTTGGTTTCATTTCCTTCTTTTCTCTCATATTAAAAAAATAACCCCCCCCCCGCAAATGTTTTCCTTTATAAGAGTTGCCATGCTCATCTTGTCACTTCATAGCATAGAAACCCTAACAAAGCCGGGCGTTGTTGGCGTACGCCTTTAATCACAACACTCGGTAGGCAGAGGCAGGTGGATCCCTGTGAGTTCGAGGCCAGCCTGGTCTCCAGAGCGAGTGCCAGGATAGGCTCCAAAGCTACATAGAGTAACCCTGTCTCGAAACAAAACAAAACAAAACAATAGTCAAAACTTTTACCAAGTGTGTGTTGAGACAATTGTCATTACTTTCTTCTTAGAACTTGTACCCTGGTTCTCCTAATCTTTTGTAAGTAGCTAAATTCATTGTTTCCTGTTCGTTTGTGGTTTTTTATTTTCCCATTACACTAAAACACATTATATAATCTTTTGCATATGTAAAATAAATTGGAAATTCTTAGCATCAGTTCATAAAAGTATTTTTTAACAGAAATTATAAATTATATAAATTCAGCATTTTCACAGTATGTTGTGTTTCTATGTTATAGTTTATTTGTCCAATGTGGTTATTGAATATTGTGTTACTCAAGTGGTTTCCAGTGTATAACTTTGTGCATGTGTATGTGTTAGAATTGTTATGTGAAATTGTCACACAAATTCTTAGGAATAAAATTATTGCCTCTGGATTGTATTGTGTGTTTAGTTTTGTCTTGCGCATTTTGCAGTGCCAAACACAGAGAGTTGCTGCTGTTTCATTTGTAGCAGGAGTATCTTTTACAAATATTGAGTGTTTGCCTCACATGGTTGAAAGATGATATCTCAGTATACTTCTTTCTTCAACTCTCTTAGAATGAAGGAAGATGATCATTTATTTATCTTTAAGTGTCAGTTTTTGCCTCTCTATGTAGTCTGTTAGTAAACAGTTTGGTGTTTTCAATAGTCTTAATAAATTAAAGACACACAGGCTATTATCACACATTGTTTGTTGTAGATGCTTTTCTTAATTTGTCCCTTTGTCTTTTGACTTGTTCTTTTGGCAATGCAAAAGACAGTATCACTGTGTAGTCCTGACTGGTTTAGTTCCTAAGCTACCAAGGAGTAAACGGAATAATATAACATCATCATTTTACTTTGTACAATGTTGGGACCAGGAGCTATGTTTTACAGAAGTGGCTTCTTGTTTCTTTTCTCCCACTGTTGTTAAAGAAAATGCTTTGAAAGTGTCATAAAATGTATTTCAATCATATTTACTTCACTTCTGCAACTCCTTCCAGACCACTCCACTTCCCTACACCAACTTTGTGTGCTCTTCTTTTAAAGCCAATGGAATCTATAGTGCTTGCTGTTGATAAGTCCCTAGATGTATGGTCTTCACTGGTGTGTAGTCAGCTCCATATGGAGCTACCACTCTTGGCTTTCAGTTTCTCAGCTTTAGTTGTATTTGTTACTTTGGTCATCTGACTCATGCCCAGCTGCTTTCCCACTTGTATTCCAGGCCTAGCATGCAGAAATATGCTATGTTCTATGAGCCAAGAGTGTGGTATAGTTCCTTCACTGTGTGGCATAGTTTTGTTTTGTTTGTTTTTTTTCTTCATAGTCTAAGCTTTCTCCAAATGCGCTTTATGTTTATCGCACCCTCTTCACCCAAGCCTGGGAGAAGGGGCAGAAAGATTATAAGAGCCAGAGGCAGCAGGCAACTACAAAGTAACTGTTATATATAAACAGAGTAGGTGTATGTCTGATCTCACATTAATTGTGAGAGCATGCACAAGACTTGCACAACATCAAGCCAGACAAAAAGCCCAACATGTAGAGAAGACTTGGGTATGATGAAGTCCCACCCTAGCTGAGGATCTATTGGCAATCGATAACTGCTGGGAGAGGAAGAATTTTTTTTAAGAGTATGTATACTCTGGTAGATCCACTTCCTAGTTGTAGATTATATTTCATCTTTGAAACTTGGCTTGCTATGTTTTTGGTTTCTTTCTTTCATGTTTGCTTTCCTGATTATCTTCAATCTCTGTTTAAAACCTCCCCTTTGTTTTAGTACAGTTTTTATGAATAAATAAATAATCCACAAATGTTTTCATTTCCAAAAGATTTACAATAGAACTGAAAGTACAATAACTTTGTTGTTGTTGGAGGTTTTTGGTTGTGTTTTTGTTTTTTGATAAAGGTTTTCTCTGTATAAAAGTCCTGATTTTCCTGGAGCTTACTCGGTACACCAGGGTAACCTCGAACTCAGAAAAATCTGACTGCCTATGCTTCCCAATTGCTGAGATTAAAGGCATGTGCCACTACCACTTGCTGTATAATAAACTTTTTTTTCTATTTTTCTTATTCTAGAATTGCAGAATATGTATTGAGTGTGGTACACGGTCTAGTGCTCAGTGGCATCACAACTGTCTGATATGTGACACTTGTTATCAGCAGCAGGATAATTTATGTCCTTTTTGTGGAAAGTGCTACAATCCAGAATTTCAGAAAGACATGCTCTACTGTAATATGTGTAAGAGGTAAGAAGAATTACCTGTGCTATTTAGCTGTTTTGTGAATTCATTGGTTCTTGTGATCATTTGCACTCTTTCAGCCCCTTTTCTACTGAGTGCTCTTATGAATAGAATTGATTGTTTATGCTTTTGGTTTTTTGGAAACATTGATTCACTATGTGGACTTGGCTGGCCTAGATCTTGCTGTGTAGACGAGGTTGGCCTCAAAATCACAGAGATCTGCCTGCCTCTGCCTCCCAACTGCTGGGATTAAAGTTTTGTACCACCAGGCCCAGATTTCTTTTTTATGAATTTGAAAGACATAAAGAAGCAAATAGGCAAATATAAGAACAGGCATGATCAGAAATGAGCATTGAGAGAAAATTTAAGAGAAGGTAATTTAAAGATAAGGAAGGAAAAATAGGTGAATGTCATTGTAATGATTTCCTTAAGTATCATCTTTTTGAAAACCTTTTGTAGTTTCCAGCCCCATAGCCGCTTTTTTTCATTTTTAACCTTGTCATAACCATTCTCTTCTTTTACTTTTTCTTCCATTCCTCCCCCTCTGTTCCCTCCTCCTCCTCCTCCCCCTTCTTCCCCCCTTTCTCCCCCTCTCCCTCCCTCCTCTCAACCTCTCCCCCATCTCAGAAATTGGCTTCCCTTTCCTCAGATACTAATTTAGCTTTAAATTAGAGGCTTTCACTTAAATATAATTTTTACTGCAGATGGGTTCACTTAGAATGTGACAAACCAACAGATCATGAATTGGATTCTCAGATCAAAGAAGACTATATCTGCATGTATTGTAAACACCTAGGAGCTGAGATAGATTCCTTACATCCAGGAAATGAACTAGAGATGCCTGAATTACCTACAGGTAAGTGTGTGTGCATGTGTGCACTTTTTAAAAAAGCAACATGTTGATTAGTAACCAACATATTACTTCATTAGTAATAAAGGAAGTCTTTGTATCAACCCCCATTGTATTTTCAGTTTCCAAAGCCTCTCCTTCCTCTCTCCTGTCCTCCTTTGTGTCTTTTTGTATTTGAGACAGTCTTACTATGTAGTCCAGGTTTACCATGAACTCATTAACCTCCTGTGTTAGTCTTCCAAGTGCTTGGATTGTAAGTGTGTACTACCGCACTTGGCTTTCAGTTTCTGAGCTTTTGTATGTTTGTTACCTTGGTCTTCTGAATCAAGCCCAACTGCTTTCTCATTTGTATTTCCAGATCTAGCATGCAGACGTGTGCTGTGTTCTTTAAACCAACAGTTCCTTAATTGTGGCCTATATTTTTTTGGTAGGCAGTGTTTTTTGTTTGTTTGTTTGTTTTTGTTTTTTGTTTTTTTTCTGTTTGTTTGTTTGTTTTTTTGAGACAGGGTTTCTCTGTGTAGCTTTGGAGGCTGGCCTTGAACTCATCTGCCTGCCTATCCCTCCCAAGTGCTGGGATTAAAGGCATGTGCCACCTACGCCCGGCTGGTAGTCAGTGTTTGAGTTTATTTTTGTTGTAAACACAATAGCTATATTCTAAAAAGTGCAAAGAAAATAGACCTTCCTCCGACATTGCTTTTCAGTCATCATGCTAGAAGTTTTTATGGAAGTCCTGTTTTATCATCTATTAAAGACTTAATTAGAAAAGTAATAATTATTAGTATACAGTAGTATTGTCATCATATATAGCATGGCCATCTATATATGCATATAAAAATTCTGTTGACTGTTTTTTTGATTTATTGGTGCTTGATACCGAACCTAGGGCCTTGTTTACCTTTATCTTTGACCTATCCCCTCAGCCTGTAAAGCTTGTTTTAAATATACACACAATCAACCTTGTAATGCAATATTGTCTGTGTTTTTAATTGTAAACAAAATAAAACCTGAAGAAAAACTGTGACATTGCTATTGATAATTTATGCTTATTAAAGTAATGATATAGTTCTTGGCTTGGATAATAAAAAGAAAAACTTAATCTGAGGTAAAGAATTAATCATTTTCTATTAAGATTATTCCAGTGGAATGGAAATTGAAGATGAAGTGCTATTTTTGGATCCAACAGCTAATAAAGATGTCAGTGATCACCAGCCCACAACTGGAATTGTTTCTGATAGTAAGTCTGTTTGTACTTTTGAAGAAAATAGGCAATATGCAAATATCCTCTAAAATGTGAATGAATATGAGCTAATATATGGCCCACTGGAAATTGTTGAGAGAAAATCCTTGTTTTTTTCTTCTCATATTTTACCCCCACCCCTAGTTTTTCTTTGTATAGCCCTGGCTGTCCTGGAAATTGCTCTGTAGATCAGGCTGGCCTCAAAACTCGGATCCACCTCTGCCTGGGATTAAAGGTGCGCATCACCACAGGCTGGTGAGAGGAACCTTTTAAGGCTTGGAAATGTGGCTCAGTCGTAGACAAGAGCCTTTTAGAAAAATTGCCTTTGGCTTGACTATATAGTTTAGCTATAATCTACTCCTTAATATGTACTTTGTTTAGGGACCAAGTGATTTTCTTAAAAAAAAAAAACAAAAACAAAAACAAAAAACAATCCAATGTGTTTTTATGATTGTGAAACTAAAGGTGTGGTAGATTATGAGGTGTTTCTTGCAGAGATAATGAAAAATTTATTATGTGAAGTTATTTCTGTAGTGCTATTGAGAGTATTTTAATGTTTCAACTAAGTTTTTACAGCTTTACTGAATTTCTATAATTAGTAAAATTTCATTTTGGGAAAGTTGCTTATTGAATTATGGGCTTTTCTGAGAGTTTTTAATATAGATGCTTTATGTTAAATCATGTACTTTGAATGGACACATTCGGTTCTAAATGTCCACATTTAACAACTCATTAAAGGTTATACTTTATACAGATGTAACTGGAGGAAATAAGTTATAGCAGACCTGTAGTATATAAATAAATTTTTAATTGTATCGGTGTATCAATGACTAATGTAATAGCAGCATGTTTTGTGTGTGTTTTGGCATTTTATAGTAAAACTTTATCAGTATGAGAGAAATGTTGACTCTTTGCTTAAAAATTCTATAATTTGTTATTTGTAGCAGTTCAAGTGTACACTGAAGAACCACAGAAAAGTAATCCATCAGAAAGCCTTGAGTCAGGTGGTCTCCTCACTTCTGGTATGTTATACATTCAGATTGTCTAATTTAATTGTATTAGAAGACAATAGCCTAATAATTTTTTTTCTTCAACTGGAAGGACAATAGCTAGGTTGTGTATGAAGGGTTTTTCGTTGTTTTACATGTTTAGTAATAACACATTATTTGATGTTTTTCTTTTATCCTTACATGTAGTCTTTCACTACAGTAGGAATGAAAAGTGAGGTTCATTTTGGCATCAGACGGTACATTCATTTTAATCACTAAATTAATTAATTAATCATTAAAATGATAAATGAAGCATTTACTGCCTTCATTGATAGAACCTCAATGGCATTTTGAATAAATGTCTCATTTTCAGCAGTCCTACTTTATAGAGCCATTCGGGCTTAATGCTAATTGAGACTTTTATTTAACTCTCTTAAGTAAAGTCAGGCTAACTTTTGTCTGTTTGCTTGTGTTTTGAGACTGGGTCTCACTATGTATATTTAGCCTTAACTGGCCTAAAGCTCACTATATAGATCTGTCTGCTTTATTCTCCCAAGTGCTGAGATTAAAGGCATGTGACACCATGCCCAGCTTAGTTCAATTTTTAATAAATTAGTACTCTGATTTAAAGATTACTAGTCATACATATTTCAACATCTGACTTATTAATAGACTAGTAAAGATTAGTGTCTAAAGTTGAGACAATAAGGATAAACAAGGATCAAATCCTGTATATATGCTGGATAGGTTAACATATATAGGTAATAATCAAAGAAAACCCATCAGAAGCTGTATCACAGCTGTGTCTACATTGTATCTTTATGTTCTAGATTAGTCTCCCATTTACAAGTCTGGCTTTTCACTTTAAAATTAGCTTTAAAATGAGTTTTACTTGACATATACAGTTTCAGTCTGTAAATGCTTAAATTGCAAATGTGTTAGGGTGCAAATGTGTCATATGTGCATAATAGAAATATATCAGTATTTTAGCCAGGCGGTGGTGGCGCACGCCTTTAATCCCTGCACTCGGGAGGCAGAGGCAGGCGGGTCTCTCTGAGTTCCCGGCCCACCTGGGCTACAAGAGCTAGTTCCAGGACAGCCTCCAAAGCCCCAGAAAAACCCTGTCTTAAAAAAAAAAACAAGAAACAACAACAACAACAACAACAACAACAAAAAGAAATATATCAGTATTTGAGTCTCTTGTTTTTGATTTATTTTTAAATGGAAATTACTTTTAACTCTAGGGATCTTACTGAGATGTTTTCAGAAGGCTGTGATTGATTTTAACCTATAAACCATTTGGGAATTTTGGCTTTAATTACTTAAATAATTTCCCTTCTTGAGTACTTTCAGAGTTGTAGCTTAGCCAGATAATTCTGTTTATGGTTAGAGGTTTTGCAATTTGCATGTGAATTAACGTTACCCATATTCTAAATTTTGTAGAATCATCTGACAATAAAATGAATCCTGAATTGGCAAATGAGGTCTATCATGAAATTGATAGTGAAAAAATGGAAATTCTTTGTAAAGGCATGAATGTTTGTGAGGAAGATGAAAATGAAGCCGGAATGGAAGTGACAGAAAACATTCAAGTCCTTCCACATCAGACAATTGTGCCGCAAGAAGAACTGCAGTTGTCAGAGGAACTGGAGCTGGTGTCTAAAGAAGAGCCGAGTCATCCACAGTCAGCTGCTGAGTCTGCTGCACCAGAAGCCTTACTGTCCCCACCAAGTGAACGATCCTTATCGTGTAATGAACCTGTGGTGATAGAAAGAGAGCAAGAAGAAGTGGAGCAGAAGGAAAACTCTGAACTCCCCACTGGGTGTGTGGATTTTGAAATGACTCTTGCTGTTGACAGTTGTGTCAAAGATAGTTCATGCCAAGGAGACAAATCTGTAAAGTTAAGAGCTGAGGGGGAGCCACCATTCTCTTCAGCATCTGACCTGAACAAGGCAGATATGTCTTCCTCCTCAACACTTTGTTTAGACTTGCCTTCATGCGACATGCTGCATGGTTACCCTTCAACTCTCAACTCTGCTGCTGGAAACATCATGCCAACAACATACATCTCAGTCACTCCAAAAATTGGCATGGGTAAACCAGCTATTACCAAAAGAAAATTTTCGCCCGGAAGACCCCGGTCTAAACAGGTAGGATGATACTGTTTAAAGATATTGCAGCTGTCATTTCAAATGTGAAAGTTACATCTAGCTTTGGCTTAGAAGGCAGCTTTTCCATCCACAGAACTCAGTTCCGATGTTTTTGATTTTATTTCGGGAGGAGTGCATTATTTAAAAAATGTTATTAACTGAGAATGTAATTTATTAAAATTTGGGATATAAAAATGCGATCTATTTGTTTATAGTTTCTAATAAGACACATTTACGTTGTTTTTAGTTCCAAAATAATCCTAGAGCTCTAAGAACACAGTGCAAAATTATAAATCCGTAGTAGTGGTGATTATTTTCCACTATATAATATACATATCATATTTTATTATATATTTTGAACATTTATAATAATTATACATATTATGTTTTAACTGTACAAATGGAAATTTTATGCTAGTAAATCTCTCATTTTGATTTTTCTTTCTGTATGTAAATGCTAAGTCTTTGTAAAATTATTTTTTAAGGTAGGACTTACTTATTTTAGATAAAGCAATCTTAAAATGTACTGTTGTCTTTAGCAAGTGAGTGTGCTGGGTAAGTGCTCTGACCTGAAGTCAAACCCACTTGTTTGTTTCCATAGATCATACCATAAGGTTCAGGCTCCCTTGGGATTTCCTATCCTACTCTGAGCCTTCCCAATACTGTAATTCTAAGCTGCTTCTCATTGTTGGGCTTTGCAATTGTTCTTAAGTACTATAGATTATATATTTTAGAGTTGAATTACAGTTCTTTTTAAGTGGATTAATTGAGAATAAACAGTAAAATGAATATAATGTTGCTTAGAATTATTTATTGTTCTACACAATGGCTGCTTTCTGATACCAAACAGTAGGGAAGAGTTTAGTTTGTAGTATTTGCAATTTTAAGTGTTATGATTTAAATTGCTTACAGTAATTATATTTGACTTTTCTGTATTGGAACTGTAAAAGCACTTAAGAAAATCTGTTTTAAAGAACCGCTTTCTCCCCTGAGTAAATCCTATGTATATTTTTAAAAATTTTCTAAAGACAAATTACACAAAAACCAAGGGAGTATTTCTTGCTCTGTGGGAAAGACATGCAGTGAATTACAGTACTTCAAACAGTAGAGAGTATCTGTGTATTTGGAGGTCAGAGGGCACGAGTGATGGACCCGAGGGTGTTGTGCTTGGCAGCAGTCACCCTGGCCATTTCCCGGCTCTAGGTACTTTCATGTGGGACTACCTACACCTTGGTTATGCTCTTTGACACTTGACTTCTGTTATCCCATGAGACTTTTTTCTTCACAAACCAGCACCCACCCCCAATCTTTTTGTTGTTTTGTAAAATCAGCTATGTAACAGTTATGTAGTTCTATTTCTTACCAAAAGGTTAACAAAAGAAATTTTAATCTCACCTTCAGTTGTGGTTGCTATGGCTTTGAATCCTATCAAGATACCACACTGTATGCTTTTTGGTAGGACATCTGCAGCCGATGCTGCTCTGCAACTCCTTGTATTTCAACTCTGTCCTCAAGACTGATGGGATTATAGATGCGGCTGCCCATGTCTGACTTGCAGTGTCTTTTCTAATGTTACATAATGGTTCCACCCTAGGCTAACTAAAAAAAAAGCCTCTGTGGTTCCATTTTGACCCTTACCTTAGAAGTGAGAGTCCTGAGTTGAGAAAGAGGTTTTGCTTTTCTCTGCTGTAAAGTTTTCCATTTCCCGTGTGTGTGTGTGTGTGTGTGTGTGTGTGTGTGTGTGTGTGTGTGTGTGTGTGTGTGTGTGTGTGTGTGTGTGTGTGTGTAATATGTGTGGAAAACTTTTAAAAAGTGGCAGGAAGTAGCTTAGTGTATTGCTCTGTCCTGCTTCTGCTCTCTGAGTGCTGGGATTATACACTGGTACTACCATGGTTTATCATATCTATACGTTCTAGTATGTAAATTCTGAAATAATAGTAATTTAAATCATGTTTTAAAAAGTGTGTATCTGTTTTGCTTAGATGAGTGTAAGACCTTTGTAATATTGAGCTGAAGGTACATACAAACTAGAAACACCAAACTTTTTGTTTCCTTGTGCTGGTAGTGGTAGTTTTAAAGCCATTCCCCAAATCATTGTTAATGAGCCATAATTGTATTCAGAAACTATTGAAGACTTTACTCTTATAGTGTCCTATCAATCACAATCAGGTCTATGGTATTACCCTTTTTAGGATTGAGCTTTATTGTTCTTTCTTTGTTTTCTTTGAGGTAGGATCCGTCTGATCTGGAGCGCACTATGTAGACCATGTAGACTAGGCAGACCTCCAGCTTGTAGACAGAGAGCTGTCTGCAACTGCCATCCTAATGCAGAATTAAAGGCTGGTGCTACCATTTGAGACTGAAGTTAGTTTGTAGAAATGAGTTGTTTTATGTAAAAAAGACTTTTGTTAGTCATAACAATAAGATGTTACTATAGCTTCATCTGCATAAGTGAGCAAGTATGTCTACCAAGAAACAGCTGATAACTTTATTTCCTGTTGCTGTAAGTTGTCATTCCTCGGCTCTGCCACTTCAAGTATTTTCACAATCCCATAATTAGAATTCTTTTTTCAAGAGACCTTGGCTTTCAGTGTTGAGAGAGATGAAGCCAGACTTTTAGGAGTGTGAAGTTGGCTTGTGAAGTACCAGTCCCTTTCTGGTTTCTGGTTGTTTAGAAGCATACTTCCTTGGAATCTAATAATAACATTGGTTATATTTAATTTGTTGTGTGATGTTTTAATCTTTTGTCTTTTGGGGAGGGTCACCACACAGCTCCCAAGTAAATCACACACAGGCTTATTCTTAGTTATGAATGCCCTGCCTTATCTTGGCTGGTTTCTTGCCATCTATTCTTAACTGATGGGATAATTTATCTTTCTTATATCTGTGTATCTTACTTTCCTCTTCATCAGTGGCCTGGTGGCTGGATGGCTGCTGGCCCCTGATGTCTTCCTCTCCTGTCCTTTTGCTGCTCCTCTTTTCCTAGTTTCTGACTCTGCCTCCAGACCACAGGCAAATTTTATTTAATCAAACACATCTTTGCATCATTAAACAAATGTTCCAGAGCATAAACAAAAGTAATACACCTTAAAATAATCTTCTACAGCAACACATGACAATAGGGCTGACCTAGTGTATTTTTCTCTTCCTTTTTCGTCTGTTTTCCTTTTTGGAGGGAAAGGTTCCTACTTTGAAGCCTAGGCTGGCTCAAACCAGTAGCAATTTTATCTTCTTCAGCCTCTTGAAAGCTGAGATTAGATTTGACTGTCAATAACATTCTCTCTCTCTCTCTCTCTCTCTCTCTCTCTCTCTCTCTCTCTCTCTCTCTCTCTCTCTCTCTCTCTCTCTCTCTCTCTGTGTGTGTGTGTGTGTGTGTGTGTGTGTGTGTGTGTGAGATCATTTTTTACTTTAAATTCTAGAAACAATGTCATAAAGCATTATTTTTCATTTTCTTGGATAAGGCAAGGAAGGATTCCACAGATTTGAATGTAGTTAAAAGTAGAGCCATTTCAGCAACAGTAAAGAAGCAGCTCACAAAGCTGCCAGCGTCTGAGGTATCAATGAGATGCTGTCCATCCTATTGGCCTAGCTGATACTAACAGAACGGGAAGCTTATGGCTCTGCTCAATAAATTTCCACTGGGACAAGATAATTCTAGGCCTACAGTCAGGGCTGGGGTAGCAGGGCACTGTCAAGTATGAAACATCTAGGTGAAGAGGGTGCCCGAGTCCATGGAGATGCCTTTCCGCTTGCTTTGTCATTGCAGCCTGGTGAACTGTCTTCTGCAAAGGAAGACACAGCTTTTCTGTATCAGCACATTTAACAGAGAACCACATGATGCCATGAGCTCAGTCCTCTTTGCTAATGACTTTATTGCTTGCCATTGCCTAATAACATTCTTTTCACTTAACATTATTGTCCCCTTTTTTCTATCCTACAGTCTTGTAACTTACAATAATAAATGTTTATAAGTTTCCTTGAGAAGGTTAATACTCAAACAGAAAATTATTCTCTGTAACTAGTACAATTCACAGTCTCTATTGGATTTGATAGAGCTTAGTTCTGTGTATCTCTTCTCACTTTTTAGTCTATGTAATTTGAACTCTGTTTTGCTCTCAATTCCAGTTTATATAGCTCAATAGTAACAGTGTATTGTGAGATTGGTAGTTTTAGATTTTAGACTGATGGATGAGCTTAGTGTGTTTGATAGTATAGACCAATGTTTATTGATGAATTCCTTCATGCACACAAAATATAATGGAAGAGAAAAATAGTGTTTAGTAGCTGTTGAACAGAATGCTTGACACAACCTAGAAAAAAGAACATAGCTTGTCCTTGTGCTGATAGTTCAGTTCAAGTAATTACAGAGCAAAGATGCCACTAGGCAGAACACAGGACAGTAGGTGGGTGTGTGCCTACCTGTCAATCAATGGCAGTTAACCTTTTCTCAGAACTTTATGTGAGCTCCTTTTCCTAAACCTGGGGTCTAAAGAATGGTTTATAAGTCAACTTTCTTAATAATAACTTTTTTTTTTTCATTTTTAAGTTCTACGAATTATATTAGGTAATTTCTTCTTAGTCAAAATATATACATGTTATCATGATTTTTCTTCAATTCCTTTTAAAATTACATATAGTCTATCTTCCAGTTTCCCATGATAAAATTCATTATGTAACTATCAAGGTTTTATTAAATAAATTCTTCATAGCAGCCAAGTAGTTTCCTAATTATCCCTGTGTTGACATCGGACTTTCTTGATCTAAAAAGCTCTTCATTTAGTTCACCCATGTTATATGAAATGTAAATGCTTTTGGCATCAAAGCTTACCTAAATTGTGATGAATAATACATAATAACACATACATAATTACCAGAAAATTCTTATTTATGAAAAAATTTAACACTGTATTACTTTTTATGATAGTATATGATAGTTACATCAAGAGAAATTTAAGATGTGCAGCATGAACTATTCTTAGTAAAAGGCCAGTGGACGTAGTGAGAGGGACTCAGTTGAGCTATACCTTGCCTATAATTCACCACCCCTAAATAAAGATGTGGAGCATCTCAGCTGTTGATGCAACAAGAGCAGCCTACAGACTCAGTAAGGAAGATGGTGGCTCACTTATGGGCAGGCTGACTGACAAGGAAATAGTTAAGGTTTTACCTGAAGGGTATAAGCAGTCAGCCATTTTTGAAAACATTGGAAGGGTGGAGTAGCTGTGTCCATTGGGCCTGATTGTGAAGAGTACAGTGTGTTTGAAGGGTAGTTAGGGAGCCAGGGCAGAGACCATTAACGATACGTGATGCGTGTGGAGGGGAGCAGTTGAACAGTGAGCTGAGACACAATCAGAGGGTTCCTTGTTTTGTAAGAATGACTCTAGCTGCTGGGCAGAGAAAGTCTTGAGACTCTGGCAGGGTCTGAGGGAAGCAAAAGGAAACAGAAATAAAGGACTGTTAGAACAGATGATGTGCAAGATGGTGGCTGGCAGGGCAGGAATTCTGGCAGTGGAAGTGCATAGGGAAGTGCATAGCCAGAGACAAAATGAGATAAATTTTGGGTTTGCTGATGATTTGGATGGAAGGACTGCAAGAAAGCTGATCAAAAAGGCAGAGGACTAGATAGATGCCCTTGTAAAAATGAGAAAGACTAGCAACCAAAACCAGCTATGGGAGAGATTTTAGCTGTGATACATGTTAGAGGTTGTCTTTTTCATTGTTATGAGAAGACACCATGACCAATGTAACAATTTACAGAAGAAAACATTTATTTGGGGTTTATAGTTTCAATGAATTAGAATCCACAAGCATCATGGGAGGGATCATGACAGCAGAAAAGCAGTCATGGTATTGGGGCAGTAGCTGAGTGCTCACAGTTTAATCCTTAAGCTGAGTCAGAGAGAGCATACTGGGAATGGTGGCAAATCTTTTGAAACCTCAAAACTTGCCTCCAGTGATACACCTCCTCCAACAAGGTCACATTTCCTGATCCTTTCCTGAAACTTTCAACAACTAGGTACCAAGTGTTCAAACATAAATATTTGTGGGGGCCATTCTCATTCAAACCTCCACAGAAGAGTTGTAGAACAAGATGTATGTCTTAAGGAAATTGGGGGAAAAAAAATTACACCTCCTTGGAGATGTTAGAAAAAGTTCAGAACTAGAAACTGAAAGTAGAAGACAACTGTTTCCAAGATGGCATTTTAAGCCTTCACTGTAAATAATGTTTAGGACTTGGTCTTCAGCTCTTAGGAAATTTGAGTGCTTCAGGAGTCAATGGAAGAACTTTGATGGAAATGGAGAAAAATCATCAGAAGGTGTCCTACTACCAGATCAACAGAGTAAAATGAGAGAAGAGAATGGACTTTTGGCAACATGGAGGATAATAGAGCCCTTTGACTTATGCAGGGAAGATGGTACAGACACAGATGCCATGGAAGGTCCGGTAGAGCAGGAGTTACTGGCTGTTGTGTACCGAGAGGAGTATGTCTTTGTTAACAGAACATGGGTAAAGTGTGGTTAGAGAATTGATGCCAGAGAGAAAACTTTTAGAATCATCCTAGATCATAAAACACTGAGTGGCTGGTGATGGATTGCTGGCCTTAAGACATTTGGCTCTTTAGTTTTGAGTTAGAAGTAGAATTACTTTCTCCTTTGTGTTTCTTAAATTTTTTCCCCCTCCAAACTTTATCAACTATCTCTTCAGTGTGGCTCGGTGGTCATGCTGTATTGCTGATGGCATTTTTGTTAGTATTGGGAATCTTACTAGTTTGATGATCTAGAAACCTGGTAAGTACAATATATCTTGTTTTAAGATCTTGACATTTAATTGGTAAAATAATTACATAAAATTATTCCTAAATTGCCTGATTCAAAAATTCTGTATTGCCTTGGTGAAACAAACATTTTTCTTGCTCTTTAGTGTCTTTATCAGATTAGCTGAACTTGCAGAATGTGGTTACTTGGAAGTGAGATGCCTAGATGCCTTAATTTTATTTTAACTATTTTAATGAGAAACCATTTCTTGCATATTAGACACCTTAGTCATTTTAATTTGCAAATTTAGGACAATTTGCTTTAATGAATCACTTAACTGTTCAAATTAGCTCCTTGAGTGTAATTGCTGTAAGATGTCATTCCCATAAATAAAAATCATCCAAGGTGAATCCCTACTGGTTTTGTTGTTCACACCAGTGAATAGAGCACTCCTTAACATTGCCCTTTCCCCCCTTTTGTTTTAGATATACTTGTTAAATTACTATAATCCCTGAACAGCTTTCTTCTAGTGTTAATTCTTTGACTGCCTTTTATTTTTGTAATGTAATTACAGTTCATGAATCAGTGCTGGTGTTATATAAACCTTGATTTTTATTACACTTTATTGTATTGTATTGATGTTTCTACTTAGAAATTTAATTTAAATTATACCTGCAAACATAGAAGTTTACTTTAGTTGGTATGTTTATTTTCCCAAACTTGAAGCAATTTGTCCTAATTTTCCATACGTTTGCATTTGCTTTTGCTGTTCTAAAATTCCTTAGTTGCTGGCTTTGATATTTTATGTTGCTGAGTTTTATACATCTATTTTCTCACCTGCCATATCCTAGGGGGCTTGGAGTAACCATAATACAGTGAGCCCACCTTCCTGGTCCCCAGACATTTCAGAAGGCCGGGAAATTTTTAAACCCAGGCAGCTTTCTGGCAGTGCCATTTGGAGCATCAAAGTGGTAAATAAACTTGCATTTACATTCATGTATCATTTCTTTCTGGTTTGTTTTGTTCTATTGGATATTAAGAATTAAACTTTTCTTTTCTAGATTCAGCTTCCAGAGCCAGTTTTTAAATCTGAAAACTTGCCTTATAATTTGGTTTACTTAAAAGATATAGATGAGGAGGAAAATAAATTCAAGTATTATAAGAATACATTTTCCCGGGCATTGGTGGTGCACGCCTTTAATCCCAGCACTTGGGAGGCAGAGGCAGGCAGATCTCTGTGAGTTGGAGGCCAGCCTGGTCTCCAGAGCGAGTGCCAGGATACGCTCCAAAGCTACACAGAGAAACCCTGTCTCGAAAAATAAAAAAAATACATTTTTAATGCTCTTTTTTTCTGACTGATTTCCTCTTGTTGTTGTTATGAGTATTTCTTTGAAGGGAAAATTCTTGTCACATAGGCCAAAGTGTCATTAGGAACTTGTTCATTCACAATATCATAAATTTAGTTGATTACATATAGACGGAGTCATGAAGTGTCATTGTGTGTGCTTATCTCATAGTCACAGAGTGTTCCCGTGTCATGGGTTGATGCTGCTCTCTCTCTCTCTCTCTCCCTCTCCTCTTTCCGAGACGGGGTTTCTCTGTGGCTTTGGAGGCTGTCCTGGAACTAGCTCTTGTAGACCAGTACTGGGATTAAAGGCTGCGCCACCACTGCCCGGCACTCTCTCAGTTCTTGACACTAACTAGTCAGATACAGTTTGCAGAAAAGTTCAAAGGGTAATCATCTTGAAAGTCAAAATACTTTATTGACTGAAGAAGGTAATTTTCCCTTATCTTCTGGATTTAGTATGTTTCTAAATTAGAACTACTAAAGGTAGACTAGTGAAAGATTTCAGAAGACTTTCAGAATATATTTTCTTAGTTTCTATTATAATTGGAAGGGCACATTTATTCTCATCCAGATAATTGTAATCATGCAAGGTAATATGTCATAATTTTAGCTTACTCATTTTAATGAATTAATTGGTCTCCTTATGTAGCCTAGGCTAGCATTGAACTCCATTCAAATCCTTCTACCTCAGACTCTCAAGTACTGGGATTACAGACAAGTGCCACCATACTCAAGTGTAAATAATTTAAGTGTGTAATGCATGATTCTTTTGATGTTTCATAGCAAATACCACCAATTTTCACTTACTTTATTCTGTACCAATGGGTGTTAGAAAAATTAATTGAGAGTTTTCTGTAATCCTGATTTTTAATTACTGCTTCAAGTCTTACTTACACTCCTCCCTGCCACGAGCTACTCTTTGATTCCTGCTGAAAACATCCTACCCAGTGGAACTCTTACTTACCCCCCCCCCTGCCACGAGCTACTCTTTGATTCCTGCTGAAAACATCCTACCCAGTGCAGTCCCACCCTGTCTATTTCTTTTTGAGAGCTGAGGACCTCTCAAGGGTGAGAGAGGACAAGAAAAGACAGTGTGGAGCTGGATATTTGTATTTATTAAAAGTGAACGGGAAAATACAAATCCCCTTTTCGCCTTTCCCTTTGTTCATGCAGGTTTTTTTTTCTCCCATCATAAACACAATACTTTGACCCCAAGCCTATTCTGCTCAGTAGACAGTGATCTTAGATTATGAAACTGATGAAGGGTATCAGTTAAAGATGTGTCATACTTCCCATTTGTTATAATGAACAAAAGGTTCCCTGATTAACTACATATATAATATTTATTTATAAGATTAATTTTTTTCCCCAGTCAGTAATACATAATTTTGAATACAACCATGGTGGGGTCAGGGCTTTGATGTTGGTTGGTACCTATAGCTTAAGATCTCAGGGAATTTAACATATTTTCCTAAAGTATTTTTTCTTATGTCAGTGATAATTATATTGCCTTTATGTCAATTTTAATAATAAAATCTTTAACCAGCTTTAAATACTGTATTAAAATGAGTTAGATATGTTCAATTTGTATGACAGCTATTCAGTAATAAATATTGATTATATTTTCTTGACAGAAAGAATGCCGCTTCATGCTAGTAAAAATTAACTTTGCTGCCTTGTAATATTTCAGAATAGTTGCTAGAAACCAGGGACTGTAGACCACTTGCTAGCTCAGTGAACTTGGAGAAGTCACTGATGTTTTTTTACACTCAGTACAATTATCTCTAGAGTGGAGAATACTCTGTGGAGAATACTTTGTTAAGAGGAAAAATTGCTCAGATCAGTGTGCCCAATTATTGGGTACTAAGTGCCCAATAAATGTCCCCATTGCTGTCATTCTTTGGGATCTATCATGTACTGAAGATAGTCTGTGCACAAAGGAATGTCTGTTGGGTCTAGTTGCTCTAGACACCTAGAATGAAGGTGTAGGCAGTCAAAATTAGTGTCAAGGCCTGCTGATGGGAAGCACACATGACAATGGAGGCAACATTGGATTCTAAAGTTTTAAGTTCCTTTATTTATAAGTTTTGGATTCATATTTAAAGATGCGAATAGTAAGTCTGGTCTAATAACGTGTATCATCCACTATAAAAAAGATAAGTATTTGTAACATTTTATAAAATGTCTTATTTCACTGACATCTGGATTTAAAAATTCTTTTGGGCTTTTATTGAATGTTAACTCATTCTTATCTGTTATGTAGGGCCGAGGGTCTGGATTCCCAGGGAAGAGGAGACCTCGTGGTGCAGGGCTGTCAGGACGAGGTGGCAGAGGCAGGTCTAAATTAAAGAGTGGCATCGGAGCTGTTGTATTACCTGGGGTGAGACTTATGTTCTTACTATTCCAGTAGTAGTTAATGGTGATTCTTTGTTTTGTAGCAAGTTGTCATCCTGAGAGTTCCAGGAGTAGTCTCATCCCTTTACATTTTACATGTTTCTGCTTGCTGATTGTGGGCTTCATTTTTTTGAAGCCTTGCTCAAGTGGTTTTGTTTTCTGATTTGTCATCTTCCTTTTTTTCTTTGGCATCTTTTCTGACAACTTTCTACAAGAGAGAATTTGTAGTGTATTTTCTTTTATTTATTAAAACTATACTATCAATGAATTATATGTATGACTATTTTCTGCATGTATGTGCAGAAATGTTGTAGATTAATATGATGTCCAAGATTTATGACTATTTTGGATTGATAAATGCTTACTGATTGGCATTTTGAGGTTTCCTGCTGATGTTCATCGTAAAAATCTATTTGAGCTATGCAGTGATGGCGTACGCCATTAATCTCAGCACTCAGGGACGAGTCAGGTGGGTCTTTGAGTTCTAGGCCAGCTTGGTCTACAACAAACAAACCCTTTCTGGGACGGGGAGGGAGAGATGAAAACTGATTTGTTTCTGGACATAATGACTCACACAGGCTCAGGCAAGTGGATCTCAGTGAATTTGAGGCTTTCTTGATCTACAGAGGAAGTGCCAGGCTAGCAGTGGCTACATAGTGGGATCTGGAAACCATAGTATAACCAAGATAGTGAAGACATTCATTTCTTAAAATTTCACCAGGATCCTCTGAAGTCCCTGTGGTTCCCTAGCCTCACCTTTAACTTTTCTCCTCAAACATGACTGATCGCAGTTTCTTGTGGCTCATGCCTGTAATCTTAGAACTTGGGAGGCTGATGCAGGTTTGATGCCTTTTTACATATTTTAGCTGTAGAGTTTGATTTATCCTTTGGTCATATCTCCAGGTTAAATATTTAAGTTGCTTAATGATTTCCCTTGTAGTCATCAAAAGTTTTTATGACTTTAAATATGTTCACTGTAGGTTCTAACTTTTTTAAGGAAAGATGATCATATTTTATTATTTTCGTATTGACCGCTTGGTTCCCTGTTACTGCATCTAATTCAGAGCTTTTGTGGGGGCAGGATGTGTGATAAAAATATTGGTCCCTAGTTGGTTTGGGGAAACATCAAGTTCAGAAATTAGTACACATGGTTGATAATTTTCTGCTAATACTGACATTTTGATAAGCTAATCATAATATTCTAAAGTGGTGCCATTTAGTAAAAATGAATAAGAACCACATATGCAATTTAAAACTTCCTGGGAGTCATATTTAAGAAGTTAAAATGAAACATAAAGTTAATTTTAATCTGTCTTATGCCTCCTATATTTAAATCATTACTGTTTCCTTATGCACTGTATATAAGGTTGATAATAAGCTCTTTTTATATTCTGAGTTTGGTATTGAGTCTTTGATGACTGCTGTGTGTATTATAATATATCCTAGTTTCAACTAATCACATTGCAGTTCTCAAGTGTGACTAAAATTGATATGCACATACTTAAATGATATAATTTTATAGTTTCTTGATTAGCATTTCTATATAATGAAGTATTACTAAAGACCGGCTCTGGGGTTGTCATTTGTCCTCATCCATGGCATTTGCATATCT